TCAGGATTTTTTTAGTTCATTTATTTTCGATCAGACATTTTTTTCTGTGAAGCATTTATAAAGTAATGTAACTACACGTATATTGCGTCATGCTCATTTTATTATATCATAAATTGTATTTGTTGTTAGAGTGGTAATTTAAAATACAATGAACGATCGCATCGATTCTCGCCGTGTTTTCGTGAAATCATACAAGCCAATTTAATTGGCCTGAACTATCAAGCATTCGAAATGTCAACGAGACGCCGATAACAGCCAGTTGGACAAAACTTATAGTCCGAGCAGTGGATAACTTTCTTCCAGCTTTCGCCGACGACGTCCTACTGACTGATTCGACTTTTACCTCTTAGCACAGTTTCACTGTATGCGCACGATGTGCCCTGTCCGCTATCGCGTTGGTCATGTGCGATAGAAAAAAAGAAAGAAAAGTCGACAGAAAGAGAAAGACTTAAACATGTTATCGAAAATAAAAGAAAAAACGAGACAAAGAGAAAACTCTCTCGTGCATCCAATGCGATAACTTACTTATCTCGCGTTCGCTTCTCTTTCCAGTTCTTAATCGCGATTAATCCCTGTCAGATCGCTTTCTGATGTGATTTCATCAGCATCACAGTAATTAAGTGAAATGTGTTATTTCAAATGAGTCATCTTGCTAAAATTCGTCACTGCGTGTTAGAAGTATAATATTTATTCGTAATTATTAATACATAATTACGTATTAAATAATTAATGTATATAAATTAATACAATTAATACATAATTATATATTAATTAATTTGTAACAAATACAAATGTTTCTTACACACTTTTCTTCTTTTATAGTTTTAGTATAGTCGAGACTGTTTCATCTGTCTCTTATTTTCGAAAATTAGAAATAATTCGTAAAATTCGAGGAACTTTGAAATGTTTAGGAAGTTTTGTTGAAAAAAATTATCCGGATGAATATCGCTTGAAATAAGTTAAGAAAGCGGGATGAGAAAGAGAGAGAGAGACCTCAAGTTCTCGCGAGTAATTCTGATGATATTACGTGTTCATTCTCCACGAATGGATTGTTAATGACAAATATAGCATTTCCTGTACCGACATGTGAAACATATATCATTATACAATTCAATTCATTGCGGACGCGTGCATCCATATACCGATGAGAGAGCGGAATTATATCATGTACTATGTTGTAATGCATACTATCTCCGAGCAAGCAGTTCTCACATACGTGACGAGAATTTACGGGGCAAACCGCGTTTCTAAAAATAGCAAGAATTTCATCGTTTAATAAAAGGAGGATAATATAAGTTTTCTTTGCCAGTTTTCTGCTCATGATATACATATATACTTCGAAGATCTTAAAGCTATTCTAAAACAGTTTTTTTCCCGCATGTTTGATTAGTCACAGATAATCAATAGATGTTAAATTAAAGATAGTAAATACGAAATTTTACTTTTCCCAAAAAACATTCTGCTCCTTTTTGCAAAATTGAAAAATAACGTTTCAATAAATAATGAATTGCATTTGTATTCTGCAAATATAATTAAATTTTACTCTATGTACATATAATAGTGATATATAATAATTAATATATTTAATTAGTCTTTAATTAACTATTTAGCGTACGAGTACAGTAACTTTTAAAACAGCTTTATATCTCGGTGCGTCCTAAAGAAAGCGAGTTAATTGGAGCGAGCGATCGTTAATGGAAAACATGGGAAGATTAAAAGATCTGCAATCTAGTGCACACCTAATTAGTAATTAACTGCGTACGGTGTCGGTCATTTGTCGAAGTATGTCTCCAACTTTCTAATAGTTTGTTATCCTACACTAATCGACGTTTGCGTGTACTTACAGAATTCAACCTGGAGCAGCCGCACAGGTGTCCAGTCACTTTGAGGAGGTCATGGACGCTGTCAGAAGACACGATTGTTCCAGCTTCCTGTGCCCACAGGCAAGACCCGGCAACATCTTCTTTTAGACACGCTTGTAGTTTTTAAATTGCATCATGACTCTTCTTCTACCAGTTGGCATTTTCAACTCTATTAAAAAAATATTTTTTTTTTTAGCGTTTCGTTACAAGTGCATCTGGAAATCCAGCTAGTTATATCTTTTTTCTTTCTCGGACATAGCTTAGAAACTATCTCGACATTTTCACTAGGAAACAATTATTTCAATTAACAACGGGAAATTTTCACGCCAAAAATACCGCTGTTACGGAAAATCTTATATATAGATAATTAGTAACAACACGCGAATTCTTTAGCTATGTATAATAGCTCTCACGAAACAACAAAAAAAACGAGTATAAAACTTTTTTTAATCTAAAATTAATTTAAACGTTATTCAAACATGTCGATGTATAGAAATGCCAACAATAAGTAAAGAGTTAATGCATCCCTTCCAAGACTTGCCGGATATATTAAATTCGCGTGGTGTATGAAATTCTTTTTGATTAGTGGGTGACTCGCATGATTGTGATCAGTTGCATAAAATCTTTAACGTGATCTTCAAGAAAATATTTCGTTAATTTACATTTGCAATAATTTTGCAATTGAACAAGTTTCTGTCAAACACATTAAATCAGCGACGAGCCAAAAGTGTACATATTTGCCAGCGAGGCAATTTTATTTAATATGCACTCATATTTGTAGCTTAGATAATTAAGTATAGAATTTAAAAGAGAGGATGTAAGTTCGGCGGTAAAAGTTGCGTCTTCTGCATTTCCGAATGTTCACCATATTACCTAATCGTCCTTTGATGAATTCCGTCGTTTCATCTCGTCTCATTTCTGATTCCTGCGTTCCGTTCGAATATAAATTACGTCGTGCGTAAAATATAATTTATTTCGACGCGCTGAAAGATCATAAACGACAGAAATGTTACATGCGGATATATTACTAATTCAGAGAGAGAAATCGTCGCCAATCGTTACGAGAATATATTTATTTCTGTCCTTACGTATAATATTGTATTTGTGTAAGTCAACGAATAAATGATATTTTTTATGACATGTGCGGTGTTTGAGTTTTTCATTTATTCTTACTTCAGTGACATCTGTTTGCAGATTTTGAACAACCGCTGGAAATTAAGCAATAGTCGATGTTGACAAGCGGATGATATTATCGGGTTAATAACTTGCTTATAGTCGAAAAGCAAGTGCTTACGATATTTGATTCAGCACATGGTGATTACATACTACTCATGTTACTATTGATTGTTATCCGAAAGGGTTTATAGAAGTACTCATAGATGGTAGCGGTTCAACCCTCTGTGTACTGAGCAAGCGCAAAATCACAGCGGTTTGGTATAATCACGAAGAACGAATCAGTTAAACGATAATTTTCGCTCCGTGAACTGCAATGAACGTCAATGAAGGTAGAATATATCTCGAAAAAATAGCAAAAGTACGCACCGCGATATTTTACTAAAAATATAGGTGTGTCGTGTGAAACAGTTATGTAATACAATAGAGTATAAAAATTATATTTTCGATCATATGTGTGTTGATAGAAATTTTTCATTCCGGTTTAAATTCTGTAAAATTTTCAAAAAAATTAATTATAATTGAATTATTATTATTTATAAAATAATAAATTAATGGTATTTTATATTATTAAATAATTTGCTTTCTGTGAAATATTACTATTCACATCGATAGTAATAGTTAGTTTTCAATATTTTTCTAATTCTAGTCAATTTTAATATTAGTCATTGTTAGATGTTATAATTTATTTCTATTTTCTCAATTTTGCGAAGATATTTCTTCTCTTGAGGTGATTATATATCCTGTTTGTCACTTAATGTGTTATCTATGAAACGATTTTTTAGTAAAGGATGCTTAATAAACATATGTATAATAACATTTACATAACTAACGGTCACTCATAAATAAAAGGAAAGGGGTAAATAAAGGGAATAATTCACTTTTAAAAATTTGCCACAAAAATCCACAAGAATCATAATTTTTTTCAAGGCGACTATACATCTGTCATAGAAGTTCGGAACTTTGTGTTCCACGAAAGTTCGCGAGAACCAGGTATAAAACTTTCTATGCTAGCAAATGCTTGCTTTCTCGACATATAGATTGCCCCAAAGTGTTTTTGAGTGGTAAAGTTGGATATAGTGTATAAGTTGAACGGTTAATTCTGGTGATGTGTGCACGATTTATTTCTTATTTCCCTCCGTTATAGACAAAGAGAGTTCGGAAACTTTAATTCTTAGAAAATACAATAAACCGAAATACAATTAAAATAGAAATTTTTCGTCAGAATTGATCATCTTACAGAAGATTTTTTTAAGAGAGATATAAATTACTAAGAGAATGCTTTAAACTTTCAGTTTAGATTTAAAAAAAAAATGATATATAATATTTTATTTACATCATCCATTATTCACTTCTCATTATTAATATTTCCTCTGAGGTTTAAAAAAATATTAGTTTAAAAAAAATTATAATATTCTATAATAAATTATAAAAAATAATATATATGAAGTAATTAGTATTTAAAAATAGTATTTAAAATTTTAGCAAAATATACAAATCTCAAAATAATTTTATTCAGATCATCAAAATAATTATGTGGGACGTTCAAACTGATTGCTAGAATGTTAAATCCTATGCAGCATTGTCCTCAATGCTTTTCTACGTATATAATTATTTCGATGATCCAATGAAATTATTTTCAGATCTAATTAAATTTTTAGACACTTCAGTAAAACTTCTTTCCATGCGTTCGTAAAATATTAAGTGATACTTATTAGCAAGTCAGAAAAACAAAATTTAAAAAATAATACAAAATAATAATATTCCTTCTAAATTAATAATAAATGGAAATATTTCTTTGATTTGACGCGAAATTTAATTTTGTTAGATATAAATTACGCCTTTGCGATGAGTCGCCAATGTTTACGGATATTAGGCATATGGCCCGATCCATTTGTGAGTGATTTCAACCGGCTAAACATAAGATTCATGATCGTTACGTGTATCCTGAGCTTTTATGTGATCATGCCGCAACTGACGAACATGATGCTTGCCTGGGGAAACGTGGCTCGGATGGTAGAGTACGTCGCCTCCGCAAACTTCAGTTTAATGGCACTGTGCAAATTAGTTGGTACTTGGTATCACGGTGAAAGTAAGTTATCATTTCGAAAGTAAGTTGTTATCGATATTTTTATTTAAAAATATAGAGATTCATTATTTATAACTCTAAAATCAACATTGTAACTGTTTTATTCGTATAAAGACGGCTCATGCCTTTCTCGAGCCATTTTTTAATCATTTGCATTAATTTGCATTGATATATCATGTTTATTGATATATCGTGTTTAATTCGAAAGCACTTCGAACGCTGATGATATCAATCGTGACCGATTGGATGACTTCGACAAACAACCGGGAACGAAATACAATGTTAAATATAGCGAAACGTGGCAGAGCCCTATCTGTTAGATGTTTTGTGACCATGACGGGTACAGTCACGTTTTACATATCTCTCAACCTCCTGAAATTCTATCGAAATGTACATCAACCTCAAAGGAATCTCGTGTATCGATTTTCCTATCCTTACAATACTCAAAATACTCCGAACTACGAAATAACTTTTTTCACTCAACTTTCCGGCGGCATGTACTCGGCTATGATCAATTGTACCATCGACACTTTTGTCTCGATACTTGTGCTACACATATGCGCACAGTTGATAAATTTACGAATGGCACTCAACAATCTGGTCGACGAGCTAGCCAAAGGATCTATATCTTCCTCGAGATTTAAGAAAGGCTTAATTATGATTACTATGCGTCACGAACATCTTATCAGGTATGCCGAAAAATTTCAAATAATTATTTAACAGTGAAATATACTTAAATATTTAAGATCATTTATTTATAAGATATTTTAAAATAGAATTCATTCTTTCATATTTATAATATAATGTCCCTATATAAAAAACAAAAAGTATTTTTTTATTAAGTCATTTTTTAAAAAACATACAAAATATGATATTTAAAATTTTAAACATTTTAATATTTTAAGATTATTAGATTTAAATAAGAACTACAATGAACATAAAATACCACTCCATTTTAAAAACTATGGTTCTATATCAAATATTTTTTAATCTTTAACAAATTAAAAGTTTCGCATATCAAAATAATTATAATAAATCGATAATTAATATAAAATATATGAATTCAAGGAACGCAAATACAGTCGATGAATGTTATAGCGCAGTGTTATTTGTGCACATGTTAGCTGCTACTTTTCAGCTGTGTTTTGAAAGTTTTCAAGTTTTCACGGTAAGAGAGATAATTTACCCTTTTTTCACAAAGTTTATACAAAATAAAAACTGAATATATATAAAGTAAAAATGCTTTATCGCTAAATTATCTATTTTGCTAAAATGGAAATATAAGATAAAAATTTGACAATATAGTTGATTTATAAATAATCATTAGATCTAGAAAAAGATCTGTATTATTTTCAGATAGTAACAAGTCATGTGGATGTACCTATTATCAAAATGGCCTTTCTCTCGTTTTACTTCACTCTTGTATTGACGCATTTGTATTTTTATTGTTATTCAGCTGAAAGACTTTTAACAGAGGTAAAATAATTATTAATTATGTACCAAATGTGATTTCTCTGAGCGAAACAAAAATGTAATTTTCAGAGCACAAACATGGCGAATGGCGTGTATGAATGCAAATGGTACGATATACCACCAAGAGACGCGAAAAATTTATTGTTTATGATATATCGATCTACAATTCCACTTAAACTGACAGCTGGAAAATTTGGAACTTTTTCATTAGAAATGTTTGGAACAGTAAGCTATTTAGAAGAAAAATATATTATTTCACAACAAAAAATCCCATTTTTTATCCATAGAAAGAGTGACAAAATACGATTATAAACATTGACTTCTAAAAAAATTTTTATTTTCCGCGATTTCGCGAAAAATAAAAATTTCGAAATAAATTATATTTTATTTTAAAATTAAAAGTGTTCTCTTTCGATCATATTAATTTAATAAGGCCTGAAAACAATTTTTCTAATCCTTCGTCAGAAATGTGCGATTTTGAAGACACAAAGTAAATTTTTTCATTGCAAATTCTAATAGATAAATTTAAATCTATAAAATAATAAAATACAATTGGACTTCTAAGATGATAAAGATTTGTTCAAACTTTCACAAGTATGTAAAAACTTTTTCACATTTTTATATAAACTGGAACAATATAAAAATCTGCGCTGAAATTTAAAGACTTACATTGTAGATGAAAGATAAAAATTTTTTCCAACATAAGCGAGAGTTAAGAAGTCAATAAGATTTGTTGTTTCACTCTCTGCATGAATATTGTGCTTTCTCTTTTGTGTTATTATATAATGTATTAATATTCTGTATAAGAATAATATAATTATAATCATCTCGATAAAAAAAATTAAAAATTTATATTTTATTTTCATTTCATAGACGGTGAAAACGTCAATGGGATATCTATCTGTATTGCTGACAATGATGGACTAGAAAGCATAATGTTGAAATAATAAATTAAATGTGTGTGCTTTATTATAATATTATTTATTTTCTATATACTATATTAATATAGGTTTATACAATGTAGATACATGTAATATAATTTTTGCTGGACAAATATATATGTTTTTGGCAACAAAATAAATTATTTATTTATTACCTTCCATCGTCATAAAGTAATTAATTCTTTATCAAAAAGAAAAACAATACTTGTAATCTTCAATTTAATAATGAAAAATATGATACATTACATGTTACTCGTGTTACTATCGATTGTTCTACAAAAGAGTTTATACAAGTATTCATACAGATAGTAACCGTTGAGAACCTTTGTATACTGAGCAAGCGCAAAATCACGGCGGTTTGGTACAATCCGTAGAGAGCGATTCAGTCAAACGATTATTTTTGCGCAGTGAACATCAATGAATGCCAACAAAGGTAGAACATACCTCGAAATAAAATAGTAAAAATGTGTGCACTGCAAGTTCTATTAAAAATATAATTACATAAACATATAATAATATTACATTTTCAAAATTAAGGATTGTTTATTAAATCAAAGAAAGAAATGGCTTTAATAGTTTGTTATGAAAAATAGCAAAAAGCACCAATAGCTTTTTGCAAGGAGTCTATAGATCTCTTATAGAAGGTTAAAACTTTGGTGGTTCATCAAAGTTTGCGAGAATGGAAATAAAGCTTTGCATTCTAGCAAAAAACATTTCGTTTTCGATAAGAAGTTTTCCTGCAGATATATAGTGTTTTTATATTGCAAAGTTGGATGAAATCCAAGTTACGTGAAATAAACGTCAGTTGTGCACGAATCGCCTTTTATTTCCAGAGAGCGAGTTTACACTAAAAAGAAATTTTCTAAAGCTTTGACAACTTCAAAATCGAAGTATAATTACAGCAATAACTTTAAATAACGATAAAATTTTGCAAGAAAGGATCGTGAAAAGAGATGTGAAACTTAGACAACATAACTGTATACATAAAAATAATGTGATATTGAAGAGAAGCATTTTCATCCGAAAATATTTTTAGCTTTGTTTAGTAGAATCATATACTCACAATTCATTCATTATTTACCATTTTAATTTTTATTTTGCACATTATATACACGAGTCTAGAGAAGTGTTAGTTTTCTATAATAATATAGCATATTATTATAGAACATAGACGCAACAAAATTTTGTAAATTCAGATATTAGAACATGATATTCTTATATGTGTACTTTGACGTTTTGAAATCGGATGTCCAAATTGCTCCATCACGGGATATTTTTTTTCTATATCGATAAAAAATAGCTCGACTTTTAATCTAATCAGCTTGCACATTACCGTTGAACTTCTTTTCTATCTTTAACTTTAGCTAGTATATTACAAATCAGTAATCTTACAAATCACGTATATTACAAATCAGGCCATAAATAGCTGTACAAATACTGGAAAATCGAACTATTTTTCGTCAAAAAGAGAATGTGATATGATAGAATAATTTTGATATTGGATTCGGTTACAGAGCATTAAAATATATATAAAAATATCATGGCCTAATCTCCGGATCAAATATTAAATTTTGTTTAGTATAATCTATAATAACGAATTATATAAGAAATAATATAAATGAAGTGAATTCCTTCATAAGTGCTACAATACAATTAAAAATAAAAGAAATAAGTAACATCTACATTCACTACTAATTAACAATGAGATGATTACTTCTAACAAATGAGAAACAAAATTCGGAAGTAAAGTAACAAATTAATGTATATTCTAAATAAAGAAATAATATTTTTCCAAACATTTTAATTTATAGATTTCAATTACATGTTTACCATGACTCGCCAATGGCTACGGGTATTTGGCATATGGCCCGATCCACATATGTCTTTGAGTGACTTTCGTTGGCCGAACATACGATTTATTATCATCGTATGTAATATAAGTCTGTACGTATCCGCGCCGCAAATGATGAACGTGGTTCGTACTTGGGGTAATATGACTCGAATGGTGGAAAATTTTGTCTCTGCGAATTTCAGCTTGATGGCAATATGCAAATTGATTGTTACCTGGTATCATGGCAAAAGTAAGTTTATTTTACGTGACAATGTAAATGTCGAATATATTTATTTTATCGTTCGTGATATCAAATGTCAAAACCATGTACATCCTCCTTATTTAAATACAAAACGTCCAGATAATGTTTTAGATAACATATATGTTCAAAATCCGGACATGAAAGACGGTTTATACGATGTTAGTTTTAATCAAATCTGTCGAACAAGCCGAATAACCGGCAATTAAGTAAATTGGAGTTTAGTCGAAATCGCTCTAAAAGACTACTTAATGGTGTGTTTAAAATGCTTTATGCTCCGATTTTGAACATGGTGATGTCTAGAAACTTACTTGTTTTAATAATTTATATTCATATTGACATTCATTTTGGAAGCACTTCAGCAGCTATTAGTGTCGATTATGACCGATTGGACTTCAACGACTAACTGGGAACGAAATACCATGTTGAAAATTGCGAAGCGTAGCAGAAACTTGTCCCTTAGATGTTACGTGTCCGCATTGGGCTTGACGACATTTTCACTTTCTTTTCATTTCTTGAGGCTTCTTGAAAATATACACCAGCCTCAACGGAATCTCGTCTATCGATTAGAAATCATTCAAAACAGTCCGAACTACGAAATCACCTATATTATTCAACTTTTCGGCGGTGCATATGCAGTTTTCGCTAACTACACGATCGATAGTTTTGTCTCGGTACTTGTGCTGCACGTATGCTCGCAACTCATAAATCTGAGGATAACAATCAACAATCTGGTGAACGAATTAGCTAACAACTCTATATCTTCTTCAAGAAAAGAGAGATTTAAGAAAAGTTTAGCAGCAATTGTAATACGACATGAACATCTTATCAGGTATGTTAGAAAATTTCCACTACATCATTAGTATGAAGTATTTATACTCATTCCTACAATTAAATAGTAAATTATTTTTAAGATTACTTTAAATGAATTCGAGCGAATCTTTATTATGTATAAGATGAATCAAATATTATATAATATAATTAAACATGGAAATTACTGTTTTACTGAAGCGTTTAAGAATTTAGCGAAATACAGGTTTAAAAATAATTTTGTTAAACCATTAATAAAATAGTTATGTAGGACGAACTGATTGCAAGAATGTCAAAACTTTATACAGCGTTGTTCATTATGCTTGAGATTCCTTCGTAATCATTTTGATGGTCAATAAAGTTATTTTCATATTCGTGTTCAGCTAAATTTTTAGAGTAAATCAAACATCAGAAAATTCTTTCTATGTATAAAAATATTTGCCTACTTGTTCTTATTTCTTTTAAAATATCATGCTTTGAACGGTGGAAGGAAATTAGAGATCCATAAGGGGGATTTAAGTATAAATGACATAAAATATATAATTTAATGATGTATTAAATAATATTTCAAATACAATATTTAAAAAATACTTTTTAATATTTATTTGTAAAAATATGAAATAAATATTAAAACATATTTTTCAATATTATATACTGATTTGGATAATTTAATAATATACATACCTATATAAATTCAGATACATAAAAATTCGAACTTTAAACTTTTTCAAGAGATTTGTATATTGAGATTTAAATAATTAGATGTTAACATATATATATATATAATAAGTGAATAATGTAAAAATTTTTAAGGAACGCAAAGACAATCGACTGCTGCTACAGCTCAGTATTATTTATGAACCTATTAATAACTACTCTTCAAATGTGTTTTATAGCTTTTCAGATTTTTACGGTATGTGAGATCACTTATATGCGTGTTCTTTCTCGTGTATTTTATAAAGCGGTTAAATTAAATAAATACTAAATTTGCTAATGATATACTTTTCATTAAAGAGTAGCATAATATATTGTGTTAAATTTGCACTGCGTATTTTCACGTGCAACTATTAAAATGTATTATTTTCAGATGATAACAGATAATTTGAAAATATCTATTACCCCAATGCTTTTTCGCTTGTTTTATATCACATTTATGTTGACACACTTCTATACATATTGCTACTCAGCTGAAAAACTTATGGCAGAGGTAAAGTAATTATGTACGTTAATGCAACCTATGCAAAAAAATCAAAATTTTCAGAGCACCAATATGGCGTACGGAGTGTATGAATGCAAGTGGTATGATATACCATCGAAAAACGCAAAAGACTTAATGTTGATTGTACATCGATCTACAATTCCTCTTAAATTGACAGCTGGAAAATTCGGGATCTTTTCATTAGAGATGTTTGGAATAGTAAGATGTATCTATATGTGTATGTATGTGTGTGTAGAGTATAGAAAGATATATATTATTTTCTCTCTATATGTGATTATGATGTGAGTATATATGTCTGCATAAAAATACAAACATTTTTATAATTATTATATATGTAAATTGGATATTATTTTTATTTTTTTATTTTGTTATATACAGAGACCAATTTTAATTTACAACCCCCAAAAGCATTATTTTTTATTTTAGAAAAAAGAAAAACAATGTAATAATTGCATAAATTTGTATTTTCATGTAAAAATCTATATATACATATTTTATGTATACAGGGTGGTCCACTTTAATCGATCATCTAAAATATTTCGCATATCAAATGAAAGTGGAACGGTTTTGAAGAAGACATATTTTGGCCATGTTGTTTTTTTTCTAGGTGGAAGCGCCAAAAAGATATAAAGGTCACCTCTCCACTTTTTTAAATAGAATTGTATGATTTATTTTACACAATATAATTCCTCTAATTATTCTGCATATAAAAGTATTAAGATAGTGATATCAAAAAAACCAATAGTTAACGAGATATTATACACTTTATTCTGGCACATATTGACATAAAATGTTAAATAACTCATGAACTATTAACTTTTTGATAATCGTATTTTAATACTTTTATAGACAGAATAATGAGATGAATCAATTGTAAAAAAACACATAGTTTAAAAAAATATGTATGCAAAATGAATAATTTTTTAAATAAACAATTATATATTTTCTTTCCACTAACTGATTCATCTCATTCCATTTAAAAAAGTGAAGGTGACCATCATATCTTTTTGGCGCCTCCATTTAGGAAAAAAACAACATGACCAAAATATATCCACTTCGAAACCGTTCCACTTTCATTTGAAACATTTTTTTATATCATCAAAAATAAGCGAGATATTTCAGATGGTCGATTTAAGTGAATCACCTTGTATATGTATACATATATATTATATAATTTACATATATACATAAATATTACATACATAAATTAATGTATATGTACATACATGTATATATCTATATATACATCTGTAAATACATTTTTTACTACGTATACTTTTTATTTCAAGTGTTTATCATGATTATATACAAAATTGTATTTAAGAAAAGTATGTAAAATTGTATTTATATTCTGTATTCTATTTAGGCTATTAAAACGGCAATGGGATACTTATCTGCATTGATAACATTGAGAGATTAGAAAAAGTGATACTGAAAAGATAATAACAAATGGATTTCACATAACTGACTATGGCATCAGTTTTTAAGTAATGGAATAAACGGACTTCTCTTCTCTCTTATATAGTCATAACTTTTGAATTATAAAAATGCACATTTCGGCGCAGTAAATCTAACGCAGTAAATCTAACGCAGTAACTGTTATTCGATTATAAGTTCAATTTTTCTGCCATCGTTCAGTAATTTAATCATAAGAATTTAATGAAACATATTTATTCCAAAATAAAATATTATGAAGACAAAAATTATCAATTTTTTATTGTATTGCAATAACATAGAACTCTATTAAACAACAATTCTTGTTCATTAAACATGATAATTTATATGTTTGTAATAATTAAATCTTACATCACTAATTAAAACGAAAAGGCGTATGTATATTTTATAATTCAAAATACTAGTATTTCACTTTTACATTAAGATTAAATCAGAATACAACATTTTTGTATAGAGTACAATAATATTATATGTACCACAGTGAAATACTAGTATTTCACTTTTACATTAAGATTAAATCAGAATACAACATTTTTGTATAGAGTACAATAATATGTACCATAGTGCACTCTAGTGCGTGCAATCGAATTCGCTATTAAATGTAGATAATAAGAATATCAGAGATATACCAGTTTACTTTAAAAATCCTACAAAAATCTTAAAAAACTTTTTTTAAGTTTTAAACATTAAAATTATAATAATAAGTAAATAAAAAATAAGAATAAAAAATATATAAATTTTCGAAATATATAAAAACAATCGGCGGTTGCAATAATTCAGTGTTATTTGTACATATGTTAGCTGCTTTTTAGTTGTAACTTCAAGTTTATAGCTTAAAACTTTCAAATTTACATGGTAAGTAAGATGATTTATTTTGTTTTTCATAAAGTTTTTTTAAAAAGTTGAATACATAACAGAGTGTCCCCAAAAAGTCTTCCTATATATGTATACGCAGGATGAGTTTTATAAAAAGTTCACCAAATTTTTTTCGAAAACGGTTAAAAATATAAGGAGACACCTATTATCAAAATTGTAGGGTAAATAGGGAGACATACTTTCATGACCTTGAATAATCCTAAATGTCCTTAGTTTTTTTACTACCAATAAAAAAGATTTATTTTTACATAATATTTATTCATTGATCAAAAATCGTAATTTTTCGCTTTACTATGACATGCGAGGACATTGTGCGATAGCGGCGAAGTCAGCAACGTAGCGGCGCAGCGTTAGGTATCTATAATATAACCTTTGTTGGACAAATATATGCTTTTAGGCAATAAAAAAATAAAATTATTTATTTATTACCTTCTAATATTATAACTGAATCTTTTAAATAATACAGTATTTATAAAAGCATTGTTTGTAATCGATTCTCTAATGAAAAATATGATAATTATATGTTACTCACGTTACTATTGATCGTTCTAAAAAGAGCTTATACAAGTATTCACGCAGACAATAGCTGAATCCTTTGTATACTGAGCAAGCGCAAAATCACGGCGGTTTGGTATAATCGCAGAGAGCGATTCAGTCAAACGATAATTTTTGTGCTGCGAACATCAATGAATACCAACGAAGGTAGAATATATCTTGACATAAAATAGTAAAATTAATTTTTAATATTTTCCTAATTTCTTTAGTCATGTCACTTTATTTTAATTTAATTTACTTTTATTTTATTCATATAAAAAAATGTTTTGTAAAATAACTATATATTCTATTCATCATTTAATATGTTACTCGTATTTATCGAGTAAAGGAGTAGGGGTCTGACAAACATATAATATATCTTCAAAAACACGATTTGTTTATTAAATCAAAGAAAAAGATCGCGTTAATAATTTGTTACAAAAATCGGCAAAAAAAGTATCATAATTTTTTGCGAGGAGTCTATAGATCTCTTATAGGAGGTAAAAACTTTGGTGGTCCACGAAAGTTTGCGAGAATGGAAATAAAACTTTGCACACTAGCAAAAAACGTTTCGTTTTCGAGGAAAAGTTTTCATACAAATTTATAGTGTTTTTGAGAGGCAAAGTTGGATAAAATCAAATTACATGAAACAAACGGTCAGTTGTGCACAAATCGCTTTTCGTGTATGTTTCCAGTGAAAGAGTTTATTTATTAGAGAGAAATTCTCCAAAGCTTTAACAACTTGAAAATCGAAGGATAATTATGGCAGCAATTTTTTGTGACGATAAAATTTTGCAAGAAGAGATCTTGAAGAGAGATTTGAAGCTTAAACAACATAATTATAATAAAAACAGTGCGATATTGAATAGAAATATTATGATAAAAACATTTTTAGTTTTGTTTTAAAAGGATCATGCTTATTTATTAACTTTATTCATTGTTTACTATTTTAATTCTCATTTTACGCGAACCTAGAGAAGTGTTAGTTTTGTTCTACATAATAATTTATATTAACAAATTGAATAAGATGTAAGTGAAATCTTTTATGAGTGCTACAATACAGCTGAAAAGAAAAAATAAGTAACTTTTACATTTATTAATAACTACATTTACTAGATAATTATTTTTAACAAATAAGGAAAAAGTGTTAGAAATGGATTGAAGTAATAAATTAATATATTTGAATTTAAACGACTTTTTAAAGAATTTTATTTTATAGATTTGAATTACATGTTTACCACAACTCGTCAATTTCTACGGATATTTGGCATATGGCCCGATCCACGTATGCCTTTAAGTAACTTTCGTTGGCCAAGCATAAGACTCATTATCGTCATATGTAACATCAGTTTGTACATATTTGTGCCGCAAATGATAAATGTGATTCGTGTTTGGGGCAACATGACTCGGATGGTGGAATATTTTGTCTCTACGAATTCCAGCTTGATGGCAATGTGCAAATTGATCGTTACTTGGTATCATGGCAAAAGTAAGTTTATTTTACGTGACAATGTAAATGTCGGATAGATTTATTTTACCGTTCGTGATATAAAATGTCAAAATATGTACATCCTCCTTATTTAAATACAAAACGTCCAGATAATGTTTTATATAAAAACTCAGATAGCATGCATGTTCGAAATCCGGACATGAAAGACAGTTTATAGTATAATGTTTAAAAGACAGCCCTACTTTCTATTTAATGTGTAAGGGCGATTTCGACTATATTTCGATTAACATAACTCTTTCAAGTCGGTGGTATATATATGTATCAACGTCTTTAAAAAATAATTTAGTAAATATTTAAGATAGGAATTTAAGATTTTTTACGTGATTTTGGACATGGTGCTAGAAATATGCTAGTTTTAATAATTTATATTTGTATTGACGTTTATACTGGAAGAACTTCAGCAGCTGATAGTGTCGATTATGACCGATTGGATGACTTCGACTAACTGGGAACGAAATACCATGCTGAAATTCGCGAGACATGGCAGAAAGATATCCTTTAGATGTTGTGCAACCGTAACGGGCTTACTTATAATGTCATTTTGTCTGCATATAATCAGAATCATTAAAATTATAAACCTACCTTATCGGACCCTCATCTATCGAATGGATAATATCCAAAAGAGTCCGACTTACGAAATCACGTATTGTATTCAATTTATCGGCGGTGCATGTTCACTTTTCGCTATCTATACGATCGACAGTTTTGTCTCGATACTTGTGCTGCACACATGCTCGCAGCTCACAAATCTGCGGACGACATTGAACAATCTAGTGAACGAAATAACTAACGATTCGATATCTAAAGAGAGCTTTAAGAAAGGTTTAGCTGCGATTGTTGTACGACATGAGTATCTCATCAGGTACGCTGGAAAATTTCCAGTGCATTAATAGTATGAAGTATTTATATAAGGATTTCTACAATTACATAGCAAATTATTTTTAAGATAAATTTAAAAATAAATTTGAGCGCCCTTCTTTTTTTATTAAGAAATATAGTTACATAATATAATTACACACCGGAAAAAAGTTTTATTAAAATATCTAAAAATTTGGGTAGATACAGATTTGAAAATAATTTTATCAGGCCATCAAAATGATTATGTAGAACGTTGAAACCAGTTGCAAAATTTTTTATAGCATTGCACATCACGCTTGAGATTCCTACTTAATTATTTTGATAGTATAAACAAAATTATATTTAAATCTCTATCTAGCTAAATTTTTAGATACACATTAGTAAAAATGTTCTTTCCGTGTACAAAAATATTTAAAGAAATTGGAAAGACTAAGGGCAATAGGAGTCAGGCGCAGAAGACGTCGCGCAAATAATACACAGTAGTGAGTCTTTCTGGCGTGATTTTTTATTACTTTCCAACTTTCATTTTCTTGGAATTGATTAACGATTTAATGTTAGATTTTTCCATTTGTAATCTCGAAAAAAATACTAGCTAAATCTAAAAGTGACTCACTGTGTCTGATACTGACTAACCAACATATTGAGAACCAATTTTTGAATCATTAATAGTAATGTTTGCGATATGGTTTTTTGTGATCACGATGAGCGTCCTTAATTTCGGGATAATTAATATAATTTTAAAGTTTTTTGATAAATTAGTGAGTGTTTTCCATATTCTCTGTTTCGATATTCCCAATATTTCTTTTGTTTTTCTTTTTTCTTTTTCTTTCACTCTTATTTGGGTTTAATTCTGGCATTTATGACAAGATAACTTTTATTCACAGTTTGTATATATTAGTGTGTGTTGTCTCTGAAGAAGGCTCAAAAGTGAGCCGAAACATGTAAGCTCGTTTAGTAGAATAAAGAAGTTTTACGCTTTATGGATGTATTATTTGCGCGATGTCTTCTGCGCTTGACTCTTATTGCTCTTAGTCTTTCCAATTTTTTTTTATTTATAAGGAGTCTTTGTAGTTTAATTTGTTATGCAAAAATATTTAATTACTTCTTTTTTCTTTTAAAATATATTGTGCTTTTAAGAAGGAAATTAGAGATTTATTATATTTATTATAAATATGTATTACAAGCATGATACAAAATATGAAATTGAATCGTATAAATTCAGACAGATTCAAAATAACAATTCAAACTTAAAACTTTTTTATGACTTGTAATTGTTAAGATCTTCAAAGTAATAAATCGTTAACGTATAACAAGTGAATAATATATCTATAAATTTTCAAGTAATGCAAAGACGATCGACAGCTGCTACAGTTCATTATTATTTATGAACATATTTTTCGCCATTCTTCAAATGTGTTTTATAGCTTTTCAGATTTTTACGGTATGTAAGAGTACTTATATGAATATTTTTTTCGCGTATATTTTATAAAATGTTTGAATTAAATGAATATTAAATTTACTAACGATATCGTTTTATTAAATAATATAGCGTAATATATTATGTTAGATTTACATTGTGCACTTTTATCACGTGCAACTATTAAAATGTATCATTTTCAGATCATAACAGATCATTTGCAAATATCTTTAGTCAGAATAATTTTTCTCTCATCTTATATCACTTATATGATGACGCATTTGTATGCATATTGCTATTCAGCTGAAAAACTTATGGCAGAGGTAAAATTTATGCGCGTTAATTCAGTACTTTTAATACAATTTATCTACATTAATTCAACCCATGTAAAAAAAATATGATTTCAGAGCACCAATATGGCGTACGGCGTTTATGAATGCAAGTGGTACAACCTACCGTCGAAAGATGCAAAAGACTTAATGTTCATTGTATATCGATCTAAAATTCCTCTTAAACTGACAGCTGGAAAATTCGGCATCTTTTCAATAGAGATGTTTGGATCAGTAAGATATATTTATAGAGTATAGAAAAATACATTGTTTTGTCTATGTATTTGTGGTTATGATGTGAGTATATGTCTCAATTGTATAAAAATGCAAATTTTTTTGTAATTATTAACTTGGATATTATTTTTATTCTTCTATTATTTGTTATATATGTACTGTATATGTATGTATATATTATGTAATAATAGAAAAATTATAAGAACAATATGTAATTTATAACATATACGAAGATTTGTATTTTTATGTAAAATCTATATACACAGTGTTTTATTTCAAAAGTAATGAGTCAAATATCTGAGAAAATACAATGGATACGGAAAAATGTTTTAAATAAATGTTATACTATCTTAGGAGATGTATTAATAAAATTAATATTGATAAAATTAATTAAAATCAATTTTCGAAAAAAATTTGCGACTCAAAATGCTGTAGCAACATAATTCTTGAAAAATTAAGTAAAAAAGTTATTTGTAAATTTTTATTTTAAGGAATAATTTTGAAATAATAAAGGTTTAAATGTCTATGTATCGCGCGTGTGGTAGTAAATATTAGTGAGCAGTGAAGAGCGTTCACTAATACCTACTCACAGGTAACTATGTATATAAACATAAGCTGAAAAAATCCTTATACCGCAGATTATTGCTTCAAACAAAAATTTATAAATAACTTTTTTTACTTAATTTTTCGAAAACTTTCTTGCTAAAGCATTTTGACTCATGAATTTTGGAACATCCTGTAATGCGTGCATGCGTCCGTGCGCGCGCGCGTGTGTGTGTGCGTGTACATATGTATATTTTTTATTGCATATACGTGTTATGTATTATTCGTAGCATCTATCAGGAGACACGGTAGTGTCTCGGCTGCCAAGAGCAGCAGCACTACTATGTTCCTTTACACGAGACAGTGATGATTATTTAAAATTGTATCTCTCAAAACCAAACATAAAATTATATTTATATTCTATATTCTGTTTAGGCTATTAAAACGGCAATGGGGTACTTATCAGCATTGTTAACAATCAGAGATTAGAGAAAATGGTACTAAGAGATAATAGCAAATGGATTTCTTACAACGGACTATCGGATTTTGAATAATAGAATAAACAGATTTGTATGCGCTTGTAACTTTTAAATTAGAAAAATGCACATTTTCAGCTCACTTGTCAGTAAAGTTTAATTATTATTTGAATATTAGTCCAACTTTCCACCTAACATCATTCAGCAATTTAACCATAAAAATTTAAGAAAACATATTCTAAAATTAAATATTGTGAAAAAACTTATCAATTTTATTATATTGCAACAATATGAACTTTTGTTAAGCAATTAAATAATTTTTGCTTTTCAAATATGATAGTTTATGATAATTAAAGCTTACATCAGTAATTAAACGAATTCACGCTAAGGTATACTCTAAAAAATGTGGTGTGAATTTAACACCACGCAGTATATATATAATTTTCACCGTGCTAGTATTAATATTAACAACATGCAATGGATTTCACATTAATTTCACACCACAATAATGTTGACACTAGTTGTATAAACACTAGTTTTAAATTCACACCATGCGTTAATATTAATACCGACATGACAAGAATTATATAGACACCGCATGGTATCATAAATCCACACTAATATTTTTTAGAATATACTACTACCTACATTAAATTTTAAACAATAACTATATATATTATATACATTCTTTTTACTACCTGTTTAACATATTATTCATTAATTGTTTCTTTAGCACGTTTAATATTACAATTGTGTAATAATATTTATATAAATAAATGTAATGCAACGATCTAATAAAATTAGCAAAATAAAAAATGACAAATAAAATTTATTTGAACATAAATAATAGAAATCTTTACGGAATGTTTCGTATTTCACTAAGGCCTAGTTTGACAACTCACGGTTAACTCTTAATCGAGGTTCGACTTATTCATTATCTCTTTCCAATTCTAGAATTGGAAAGAAATAAGAAACAGGTTGGACCTCGCTTAAGAGTTAACCGTGAGTTATGAAACTGGGTCTAAGTCGTCATCAGCCGCATCATTAATTCATTAATAAAAACCTTTACTTTTTAATTGCATTTTGAAATCTTTTAAGTTTTTCTCAGTAAGTGAGACAATTTGTTTCGTTTTTTATATATTATAGTTAATACAATAAAAAAATTGAATATACGTTAAGTATTAAATATTAATTTTTTAAATTTAATAACGATCTTTTTTTAATTGAATTAATAATAAAGTAACTTTTTAATTAATATAATATCACATTTTAAAAAAAACAATATTCATAACATTCGGCTATTATCAATTGCATAATAATTATATGTTACTCGTTTTACTATTGATTGATATCCGAAAGGGTTTACCAAAGTACTCACAGATGGTAGCGGTGATTGAATCCTTTGTGTACTGAGCAAGCGCAAAATCATAATCGTTTGGTATAATCGTGAAGAGCGCTTCAGTCAAACAATAATTTTCGCGCCGTGAACATCAATGAATGTCAATAAAGGTAAAATGTTAAAGAACAAAAACTTTAGCGATGTTCTATTAAAAACAACCACGTCGTACACAATATATATGATATAATACAGCTATAATATAATATAAACAGTATATAAAAAAGAGTATTTGAGATCGCGCGTTAATAAAAAATTTCTGGTTTGAATTCTATAAAACTTTCAAAAAAGTTAATTATTACTTGTTTGTGTGATAATAAACTAATGAGAGATTATATTACCGAATAATTTGTTTCTTACAATATATTATTACGTGCATTGATAATTATGTTTAATTTTCAAAATTTTTCTAATTTTTTTCCAGTCATGATTTTTCTTGATCATTGATTTATCTTACATTTTATTTTGTTTTTATTTCATAATCAAAAAGTATATCTTCTTTTGAAATAATTATAATCGATTTTAATCAAGTTTAATAAGATATTTAGTAAACGTTTATTTATGGATTTAGTAAAAAAGTAAACATAAAAAATTTGTAATATTTTTAAAATAATTGTTTATTGAAGGAAAAAAATATTTGTTTTATAATTATAATAATTTGTTGTAAACATCTAAACTTATAAAAATTTTTTAAAAAGTTTAGAAAATAACGATGTTTAATCTAATTTAACATTAAACTATGTTTGTTCTAAAATTTGATTTTATTAGATTTGAATTACGTATTTAATCCGATTCGCCAATGGTTATGGATCTTTGGTATATGGCCCGATCCACAGATTCCATTGAATGAATTTCGTCAGCCAAGTATAAGATTCATTATTGTTATGTGTTCTGTGAGTCTATATGTATTCGGTCCTCAAATGATGAATGTAATTCGTGCTGCGGGTAATGTGACTCGGATGGTGGAAAATTTTTCTTCTGCAAATTTCAGCATGTTGGCAGTGTGTAAATTGTTTGTAACTTGGTATCACGGCAAAAGTAAGTTTACTTCCCACAACAATTGTCGAACAGATTTATTTTTATGATACAAAAGTCACAAAATTACATCTTCTTTATTTAAGCAAAATAGTCAATCAATGTTTTATATGTAGAAACCCACGCATGTTCAAAATCGGAACATAAGACGTGACATTTGCTATGATGACTAAAAATTTTTTAATGGTATCTTTAAGACATCTTATGTTTTATTTTGAACAATGCTGTCTGGGAATTTGTTTTGCTTTAATAATTTATGTATTTATTAATATTCAATCTGGAAGCACTTCAATCGCTGATAGTATCAATTATGACCGATTGGATGACTTCGACGAAAGAGTGGGAACGAAATACTATGTTAAAAATTACGAGAAGTGGCAGAAATATGTCCTTTAAATGTTGTGCGCTCGCAACTAGCTCAATTATATGTCACTTTTTTTTCCAATTGCTGAGGTTCTTCAGAACTATTCACCAGCCTGAACGAAACCTCATTTACCGAATAGAAATGATTCAAAAGAGTCCGAACTACGAAATCACCTATTTTATTCAACTTTTCGGTGCAATGTATACAGCTTTTGCTAATAGCACTATTGACAGCTTTATCTCGGTGCTTGTACTACAAGTGTGTGCGCAACTGATAAATCTGCGAACGATGCTGAATAATTTGGTAAACAAATTAGCCAACAAATCTATATCATCCTTAACATTTAGGGAAGGTTTAGCTGCGATCATCGTACGACATGATCATCTCATCAGGTATGTCTTAGAATCTCTACATTACTTGACATTGCAGTGAAATATCTATAATCATTCTATGATAAAAGACTTTTTTTCGAAAAAAATTTGAAAATAAGATTTAACACTCCTGATATCATATTATGTATAAGAACAAATATTTGTATCATATTGTATTATAAAAAAATATTTGTTGATCAATCTTTATTTTAATTTCTCATGTTTTTAAGCAGTAAAAGGAAATTTGACACAATCAGATTTAAAAACGAACACAATAAAAAATATAAATTTGAAGCACAAATAATGATAAATTCAAGATAGAATAAATTTTTTTTAAAGATTTGTACACATTAAAATTCGAGTAATAAATCATTAATGTATAACGAATGAATAATGTTTTTAAGGGCTGCAAAGACGATTGACGGCTGCTACAGCTCAGTGTTATTTGTACACGTGTTATCTGCTACTTTTCAGATGTGTTTTATAACTTTTCAAGTTTTTACTGTAAGTGAAATCATTTATACACATTTCTTTACACAGAGGATTGTTTTATTACATATCATTTCCAGATAATAACAAATAATATAAACGTGCCTATTGTCAAAATGATTTTTCTCACATTATACTTGAGCTTAGTGCTGTTCAGCTTGTATACATATTGCTACTCAGCTGAAAAACTGATAACGGAGGTAAGACAACTACGCGGATCATGGATTAATACGACTAGATCCTATGCAAACTAATAAATTATGAACTAAAGTGTATAAAAAGCAACAATTTATTTTTATTTTTTATATAAAATAAATATTTGACATAAAATAAAAATTTTCAAGCTTCTCTATTTCTATAAAAGTCTTCATAGTGAAAAATGAAAAAAATTCTCAAAAGATTCATAATCAATTCACTATACAAAAAAAAAATCCTATGCGAAATTTTATAATTTTTAGAGCACTAGGATGGGATACGGCGTCTATGAATGCAAATGGTACGATCTATCATCGAAAGACGCAAAAAACTTAATGTTCATTGTACATCGATCTAGAATTCCCCTTAGATTGACGGCTGGAAAATTCGGAACCTTTTCGCTAGAAATGTTTGGAATAGTAAGATATATTTATGAGAAGAATACATACTCCTTATCCATATACGCGATTCGTCTTTATCTATATATGAGTGTGTTTATATAGAAACATCCCTATTCGTAATCATTAAATTAAATTAAATTATTTTTTATTTTATTATACTGAAAATTTTATATATTATATATTTTATATATTATTATCTCTTTCTGATATCCATTACAGGATTATATAAAATTATATTTTACTTGTAGTTTTTACTTTGTTTATAGGTTTTGAAAACATCAATGGGATACTTATCAGCGTTGCTAACAATGAGAGATTAAGGAAATGATACTAAAGGAATGATAATAAAATAAATTTCATTACTATACATCAATCTTTGAGTAATGAAATGAAAATAAGTTAGATCGATTGTCTGTAACGTCACTTTCGAATTAGAAAAATACATGTTTGCGCAGTATGTCAAACTATTATTTGACTATTACTTGTTGAACTATACACTTACTTCCGTTTAGAGGATAAAATTTATTGGATTTATTGTATTACAATAATTCGCCTATTAAGCAATTAAATAATAATACTTGCATATTAAATATGAAAGCAATTCATAATTCAGGTAAGAATTTACATCAACAATTTAAACGAATGTACGCCAAGGCATACTGTTATATTAAATTTTAGTAAATAACTGTATTTTATTTGTTATTTAGCATGTTATTTCGTTAATGGTTTTTTTAAATAAAGCGTGTTAATATTATATTTATGTAATAACATTTATATAAATATCGGTTATTTATTTTTTTAGGATATCCTAATTTTTTATTATATATAATATGATTTTGATGACTCACAAAATTTTAAATTATTAGACTTATATGTATATGCTAAAAAAGTCAGATATCAACTGACTTAAAAAATCTTAAAATTAAATCTTACTTAAAACATGAATCTTTAAAATAGTAATAAATGGATAACAAATAAGAAAGAGAAATGCATAAATTTTCAAGAAATACGAAGATTATCGATTTAGCGCAGTGTTATTTGTGCACATGTTAACCGCTAATTTATTTATATTGTGAAATTTTTATATTGTGAAGTTTTTACGGTAAGTGAGTCAATTTTTTCTGTTTTTTGTATAGTTTATGAAACAAAAAATTTAATATATTTACTAAATATTAAATATATTAAATATTAATTTTAAAGTTTTAATAACTATGTATTTTCGTTTTCGTATTAAAATACCAATAAATGTCGTGGTACAGTGAAATGTTATTAACAACTATCGGACCTGAAAAAAATATATATTATTTTCTGTTAACAACAAACTGTTAATATAAACTAAATGTTAAATACGCGCTAACGTCGTTATAAGTGCGTTCTGAATATTGGCATTGATGTTTATTGTATATTATATATAATAAAATTGTTATTAATATCACCTATGAAAACAACATAACAATTTATTCTTTATTTGTATTTTACACAAATAAAGAAAATGTTAATAAGACACCTACATTTTCTACATAGTAATAAATTAGAGAAAATAATACTGGAGTAATACTGGAGTAAATTAATGTATATACTCAATTAATAATATTTTTCATATATCTTTTATACATTAATTAGTATGAACGGATTTATATGTGTTACCTGTAATATATCTTTTTCAAACAAATACGTTTTTAAATAAATAATGTAAATTATTTATTTAAAATCTTCTCATGCCTTTGCTAACTGTTTAATATTATTAATATTTGAGGAGATTACATGGAAACGAAATAATACACTGATATTTATTAACTTAATAAGGAAATGATAAAGACAGCGATTATCCTCAATCTCGAAAGATCGTCCGAGCGTGGCGGGCATCGTCTCGCTGCGATCTGAGTATTGCACGTTTTATTTTTGAGTATAAATATGACCGGTTTTGACTGTGATATAATTCTTATTCCAGTAGTTTTTTTTTTAAGGAAAATGTTAAATTATTATTTATGTAAATGTAGTAATCAAATATACTATTACTATAGTATTGCCAAACATTTAGTGCAAATAATTACTTTACAATTATTTTCTTTTTAGTTTTTATAATAGGTACATGTAGTAAATTTGTAGCTAGAAGTACAGTCAAATGTGCTATTAATATAGTCACACACACTATTTGAAAATGATTAATTTTTCCATTTTTCTATATTTTTTAGTTATTGTTACCATATAGTAAGTTAATGTTGAAAAAATGTTAATGTTGGTTATATTCATTATAATTATGATTAAAATTATCACATAAAAATGATTATTTTATTTACCATACGTATTTTCGTATTTTACTATATTAATATTTTAAATTATCATAATTTATAGTACAATTTTTGTCCGATTTGATAGAACTATACATATAAGGTTATTGTTACTAACATTATAGCATAATAACTATAAAAATGATGCTCCTAACTATAATTATTTTATCATGCAATTATAGTCACAAATATACTTTTCTCTCAATACAATAACGTAAGAATTATATGCGTGTTATTATTGACTGTTATCCGAAAGAGTTTACAGAAGTACTCATAGATGGCGGTTGAATCCTTTGTATACTGAGCAAGCGCAAAATCATAATGGTTTGGTATAATCGAGAAGAACGATTCAGTCAAACGATAATTTTTGTGCCGTGAACATCAATGAATGTTAACAAAGGTAGAATGTCTCGAAAAAAGCAAAAATATTTGCAACGCGATATTCTATTAAAAATAGAATTACATCATATAAAATACTTGTATGATATAATGTAATATATAAAAATTGCCTTGTTACTTTACTTACTTATTATAATCAAGTTTTTTTTATCACATGTGTATTAATAAAAACATCATTTTAATTTTAATTTTATAAACATTCTGAAAAAGTTAATTATTGAGTTACTGAATGTTATATTTGTGTGAAATTAAAGAAAAGCTTATAGTACCGCATAACTACTTTCATATAGAATATTATCATGTACATTGATAATCATGTTTATTGTTAGTTTTCAATATTTTCTTAATTTTCTACTAGTCATGCTAGTTTATCATATACTTTATTTTGTTTTTATTTCATGAACAAAACAATATTTCTTCTTTTAAAGTAAATGTACTCTATAAAGCATTTAGTAAAAAAGTAAATATTAATATTAATATTTTTGAAACAAATAATTGTTTACTAAAGAAAAGAAATATTCGCTTTATGATTGTAATAATTTGTTGCAAAAATTCGCAAAGAAGCATCGCAGATTTTTGTAAGTCTATAAATTTTGCCAGTCTATAGATTTTTCACAGAATTTTATATTCCACGAATGTTTGCGTGGATAGAGAAATAAAATTTTATATGCGGGTACAAAAATGTTTGTTTTCAATGTGTAGAATTACAGTGATTTTGAATAGTGAAGTTGGTGCATAGTAAACGATTAGTTGTGCACAAATCGTACATTGTTTCTCTCTAGTATAACAAAGAAAACCAGTATCGAAAATAGTAACTCTTTGAAAATCGAAAGCAGCAAGTATGTATTTATATACAATAATAATATAAAATTTGGCGCAAAGAGATCTTGTGAAGACAAACTTGTAAAGCAATATAACTGCATATAAAAATAGCGCAATGTTGAAGAAACGTAATTATTAAAAAATTTTGAGTTTTAATAGAATCACTATACACATTGGTACAATATTATTCATTTTATTATTTACTGCTTTAATACGTGTTACTATGTGCACAAGCAATAGAGCAGTGTCAACTAAAATTTATAATGACATAACAAATTCTATGAAAAGTAATATAAAAGAAGTGTATTCTCCTATGCTACAATTACAGAAAATATAAAAATTTAAATAGCTTCTAATTATTAGTGAAGTCTAATAAAAATAATTACTTCTAGTGGAAAAAATGTTAGAAAATACTTTAACAAATTGATATCTAATTCAATTTAACGTTAAGCAATGATATTTCTTTTAAAATTTGATTTTATCAGATTTGAATTACGTGTTTACCTTGACTCGTCAATGGCTATGGATATTTGGCATATGGCCCGATCCACATATCCCTTTGAGTGAATTTCGTCGGCCAAATATAAGATTCATTATTGTTACGTGTACTGTGAGCTTTTACGTATCAGGTCCTCAGATAATGAATGTGCTTCGTGCTTGGGGTAACCTGTCTGGAGTACTGGAAAATTTTGTCTCGGCGACTTTTAGTTTGATGGGAGTGTGTAAATTGATTGTTACCTGGTATCATGGCGAAAGTAAGCTTATTTTTCACAAATATATATTTTCATAAATATCAAATGGATCTATTTTTATCGTTTATGATAAATATTAAAGTTGTATTCCTCTTATCTAAGCACAAAATGTTCGGACTATTCAATAATCTTCTTATAAAGAAATGCTTGCATCTGTAATTTACGTTTATATTAATATATTATATTAATTTAGAAGCACTTCGGCCGCTGATGGCATCTATCATGACTGATTGGATGACTTCTACGAGCGACTGGGAACGAAATACTATGTTGAAGATTTCAAGACGTGGCAGAAGTTTATCCTTTAGATGTTGTTTGTCTGCGGCGGGCTTGACTACATTTTACCTTTCTTTGTATTTACTGAGGTTCTTTAAAAATATAAACCAACCTCAACGGAATCTCGTCTATCGATTAGAAAATCTTCAAAGGAGTCCATTCTACGAAATCACCTATTTTATTCAACTATCTGGAGGAACATATTCAGTTCTCGCTAATTACACCATCGACAGCTTTGTTTCGATACTCGTGCTACAAGTGTGCGCGCAACTGATAAATCTACGGACGACGCTGAACAATTTGGTCAATGAATTAGTCAGCAAATCTATATCTTCCTCGAGATTTAGAGAAGGTTTAGCTGCGATCGTTGTACGACATGATCATCTGATCAGGTACGTCGGAGAATATCTGGTGCATTACTTCATACTATAAAGTATTTATAAACATTCCTTAATAAGAAATAATTTTTGAGAAAAAAAATTAAAAATAATGTCTGACACTTATCCGTCTCCTATCAAACAAGAAAAAATATTCACAAGGCATTATATAAAAACAATTGTAGATCAATCTTTTTTTGAAAATATATCTTGTTTTTAAAAACTAACAAGAAAAAAATTGAACTATTAGATTTAAAAATGAACAAAATCGATTAAAAAATGATAAACGATGATGACAATGATAAACGATGAAAAATATCACATTAAATTATAAATTAGGATAGATTCAAGATATAAATTCAAGATATAAATAATAAAAAAAAAACAAGTTAAATCTTTTTAAAGATTTGTATACATTGAGATCCAAGTTATAAGTCGTTAACGTATAATGTATGAATACAAATTTTCAAGGAACGCAAAGATCATCGACGGCTGCTACAGCCCAGTGTTATTTGTGCATGTGTTAGCTGCTACTTTTCAGATATGTTTCATAACCTTTCAAGTTTTCACAGTAAGTAAGATCATTTATATTATATATATATATATATAAATCTGCGTTTTTTTGAAAAAAAAATTTAAGAGCTAAATGTGTAGATATTAAATTTATTAATCCCTGTGTACAGAATATAATATTTATATAATTGTATACAAAAATTTTTGACAAAATACTATAGCAAGAAAGTTTTCGAAAAATTAAATAAAGAAGTTATTTATAAATTTTTATTTTAAGCAATAATTTCTGAGATATAACGATTTAAATATACAGCCAATTATAGATTACATAATTTAAATAGCCACCTGTGAGTATTAGTGAGCGTGTTGAAATTAGCACTCACCAGCGCTCATTAAACTACCGCATGCGCAACTCATGGACAGGTGACCGTTTAAACGTAGTCTGTAATTGGCTATAACTAAACTTTTATTATTTCATTAAAAACCACTGTTTATAATGAAAATTTTCAAATAAATTTTTTACTAAATTTTCCAAGAACTTTCTTACTATAATATTATGAACTTTGAGAGATTGTATAATTGCTATATAATTATATAATTATTATATAACGTTATGTAATTGTTATATAATTATTAAAATCTGATATATACAAAAATAAGGAATAATTATTTCCTATTTGCTGGAGAAATATTTTATTATATAACATTATATATTGTGTTCACAACATAATATATTATATTAGATTTGCATTGCCTTTTTACATACAATAATTAAAATGCAATATTTCCAGATAATAACAGATAATATGAAAGTGCCTGTTATTAAAATGACTTTTCTGTCATTTTACTTTGTTGTTTTGTTAACAAATATGTATGCATACTGCTACTCAGCTGAAAGACTGATGACGGAGGTGAGCTAATTACGTGTATTAATGCGACCGAGTCGTGTGTGCGAGAGAGAGAGAGAGAGAGAGAGAGAGAGAGTTAATAAATTATCAAATATCCACTACATAAAAGGCAAAAATTTATTTTTACTTTTTATATGAAGTAAAAATTTTTTAATGTTTTCAAGTTTATTTATATAAAATTGTTCACAATGAAAAATGAAAACGTTCTTAAAAAAGTCATGATCAACCCACTGTTCAAAAAGAAAACTCGTATGAAATTTTGTAATTTTCAGAGCACCAAAATGACATACGGCGTATATGAATGCAAGTGGTATGATATACCACCGAAACACGCAAAAGACTTAATGTTCATTGTATATCGATCTAGGATTCCTCTTAGATTGACGATTGGAAAATTCGGAATATTTTCGTTAGAGATGTTCGGAATAGTAAGATATATTTATAAAAAGAAAGTATAAACTTCGTTTATACGCGATTTATCTACATCAATATGTGTTTCTATAGAAACATTCTTTTCCATTATTATTAAATCGAATTAAATTATTTTTTTTTGTTCTGTTTTATTTCTGTTTTATATATATATTTTCATATTACATTTTTATATAATATATATATTTCGTATATTATGTACGTTCATGACACATACATCATAATTATATAAAATCGTATTTTATCCGTATTTTATATTCTGTTTAGATTCTGAAAACATCAATGGGATACCTATCGGCATTGTTAACAATAAAAGATTAAAGAAAATGATACTAAAGAGATGATAACAAATCAATTTCATCACTACGATATAAATTTGTATATAACAGAATAAACAAATTTTTGCACTGCCTCCAACACTATTTTCGAAATAAAAATAATACACATTTTTGCGCAACATGTCAAACTGTTATTCGACTATTAGCTGTCGAATTATTTACTTCCTTTGTTTAAGGACAAAAATGATCAGTTTGATAATATTGCAATAATACGTACTTCTAATAAATAATTAAATAATAATTCTTGATCATCGAACACATTAGCAGTATATAATAACTAAACTCACATATTTTGTCAACAAGCTGCAATAAATTTTTATCTAACTCGATTCGGAAGTATCGCTAAGTGTTCAATACGAAGCAGCAACTTACTCTGGCTTGACTTTAGGGTCTTTTACGGAGGGTAGATCACTTTCTGCATCGGAGCATGCGTGATCTTTAGGGAAGGGATGGAAAAAAGTCGATCGTAAAAATGTTTCAGTCGTTGCATCGTTGACATCCGTATAAGTATCGATGGATGCTGATCGAGGTATGCGCGAATAGATGTTCATGTGCTCACGTGAATTTTAGATAATAAAATTGTTATCTAGATATATTCCTATCTCTCCACAAGAGAGTTAGAGAAGAGAGTACAAAGCTGTTTAAAGAACGTATTACATGTATATTTGTGAAATATGGTGCGCTGCAAATTGTTGAGTGTTTAAAATAATTAAGAAATATTCTAAGTAGAACAACAGATTGCGATAATATCATTTTGACATTAAGATGAATCGTGATTGATCGAAAAGTGATTTTTAATAATCATTTTAGAACCATTTTGATGTCATGATGACTTTATGTTTTGCTTGGAATGTATCCTTTTTTGTAATTATATATTTTGGAAGCACAATTATTTTATAAATCGCATCGATGTTCTCCCAATGTATAATTGTAGCATATTGACAATATCCAATAATGATCGAATTTCTTCCTTTGTTAATTTTTGAAGTAAAATTCGATCTGCATAGACTTGAATTTCGCGATCGGATGGAATCGATTCAATTTGGGCCTCGTCGGCATCTGGCCCGATCCGTTACAAGATCCTAAACAAAAGAGCGGACTCTCCCGATGTCGCTTTATGATAGCCAGCTTCTTCATGCTGGGCTTTATGTGTATACCGCAATCGACGAATTTGGTATTCATTTGGGGTGACGTGGATATGATGACCGAAAACTTGGCGACCGCTAATATCCCAGTCGCGAATTCTTTCATGAAAGCATTCACCATCTGGCGCAGAAGGAAAGGTACAAAGCACAAAGAACGTTAAAAACAGCGCAAGAGAATTAATACTTTTTGAATAATAGAATTATCTCTTATAAATTTAACATTATGAAGCTCTAATTTTTATAAATACCAATCAGCTACTTAACAATTACATCTAATTTCCATTTACGAAACAGCGACACGAGATGGCAATAAAAAATGATATATTATTATTTTTCTCTTATTTATATTCTTAATTATCTTTTGTAATCGTTTCGTACAGCAATTTGGATTCGGCATTTCGTGCGATTATGTCCAATAAAAACAATTCGACAAAATGCCAAATTGTCAGCTTAATATCGAATGATAAAATAAAATTAGACTTGTTTACATAAATTTTCATTAAAAAATCCAAAAGACAATATTTGTTTAAAGTTTTGAAGCTGTTGGTCAACTTCTTCTATCAAGATTGGTATATGCCAAAAACGTCTGAAGAAAGAACAATTATGCTGAAAAATGCCAAAATTGTGAGAAAGATATCCATATGGTGCACAATACTAACGCAGATAATGGTAACCATATATATCGTTCTAAGGATCTCGACGATCATCAGATTTTCACCTAATGACCCGGCTTGTCCCATGCTTTATACGGCCTATTTTCCTTTCGACATTACCAGAAGTCCGATTTTTGAATTGATTTGCATATGCCAGATTTTATCTGCTTATAGCGCAACGGTTACTTATACCGGTACCGACAGTTTCATTTCTATGCTAGTGCTCCACGTCTGCGGCCAATTCGAAAACTTGCGCGAGAGACTCAAGAATCTCGTTAACGATTCGAACGGAATAAAAACGTCTCAAGAGTTCAAGAGTGAACTGAGACAAATTGTAATGAGGCATGAACATTTAAACTGGTTTGTATAATTTATGGAAAGAAAAACTTTTATCCATTTTATATGATAAAGAACAGGACAAGGATTAGGACAGTCAAATGAAATGTAGCCGATAAAATTTCGGATGTTGAAATGAACTAATATGTTAATAATTGCCATAATTAGCAAAACACTTCTTCGATGTGAAACCAGTCGATCCAGGCCTATTTATAAAATTCCTTGGGCTAGGATTTAACCCACTCAAAAGTAGTCTTCTGCCATGCTGCGTCCAACGAAAATTTCCTACCTTTCAAATTCTCCATCAGTATTCGATTCTGTAACTTCTAATGACAATTCGGTATCGTTACGTTGTCGTTGTACACTACATATAATATCTACGCAACAGACAATGTAAGGACCGACACTGTCGTTAAACATTGCAGACTCGGGATACAAGTCTCCAAAGATTTGGAAATCGCATAGCGACCACAGTTCCGGTGAGAAATACTGGAGCACCTTGCCTTCAACCCAAACTTGTCGCCATGCGATTTCTACATCTTTGCAGACTCGAAGAAAAATTTGAAAAGCAGAAATTTCCGCCGGACGCAACAGTGCAGGAGACTGTTTGTGAGTAAATACGATTCCAAGAGTTTTATGAACAGGGCATCCATCGTCTGGTTTCATAATGGAAAAAGTGCATAGTCAGTCACGATGATTATTAACACGTTAGCTGATTTCATTGTCTAAATTTTTCATCCATTACGTTTCATTTCACTGTCCTAATAATTTCAAAATCAATTATTTAAATCATTAATAAATTTTTTTTCAAATTTTTTTCTCCGTTCACAAAATTATATGGAATGCATACAATAAATTTTCAAGTTAGTTTATTAAAATCAATTCAATTAAATTAAATTTAACTTGAAAAAAATTATCTGCTATGTCATCGTGTCCGAATAAAGAACATTTGGTAAAAAAAGGCTTATAATATTTTGTCTAACGTAAAATGATCTATTTAATAAGAAATTGTTTATGCAAATGTAATTTGCAAAATCATATATATGTATATTTAGCGTGTCATAATTCAATATAAATCGATAAAAATGAAAATACTAATCATATATGTCAAGGTTTGCAAAAACAATCGAGGAGTCCTTCAACATGATGATGCTAATACAGATGCTTTCTTGTACTGTTCAATTATGCTTTCAAGGGTTCCAGGTTTTTACGGTGAGTGGCTCGAAAATAGCATTTTATCAAATATTGTTTATGCATTTATTTCCGTTCTAATCAGTTTAAAATGTAATATCAACATTTTGTTAACGTTACATTTGTTTATATCACGTTGCTGAGCATAAATTTTCCTAATTAATTCAGAAAATATGAAAATGTGTAAAATAATAAAAATTAGGAATATTTCAGATATTAATAAACGAAGAAGAAAACGAATCGATGACCTTCCAATTAATTTTTCTAATCAGTTTCGTAGGATTTGTTCTAGTTCACTTGTATGTTTATTGTTATGTCGGTGAAATGCTGCTTGTTCAAGTAAGATGCATAAATATATGCGCATGATGCTTTCACGGGTATTTTCTTCAGAAGTGCTAAAAGGTTTACGGGTTATTTAATGCCATTAATGGCATTAGCAATGGATTATGACACGGCCATAACCTGTAAACTTTTTAGTACCTCTGAATGTATATTACATATTGCACTTCCTCATTTCTTCATAAAAATCCCAACAAACAAATTGACATTATTAATCAGCATGTTAACATCATTAAAAAAGCTAAAAGTACATTAAAATGGCGACAAATAACGTCAGTTTGTTTGCTAGAATAGTAGAATATGAATTTATTGCAAATATTAAACATACACATATATATATATATATGTACGTTATATTTTAATCGAAGAATCAATTAGCTTTGATTTTTCATCGTCTTATAAATTAAAATATAACTGTTTGAAAGAATAACATATTACACTTTTTTATCGTCTAGTAAATTGTGAAGAAATATAATATATTTACTGTAGAAAATAATAATCGCACATTAAAAGAATTATATAAATTTAGATATTAAGTACTAAATATTAATTAATGACATTTAAGAGTACTGAGATAGGATACTCTGCTTACGAATCGAACTGGTTTAATGTGCCAGGAAAGGAAGCCAGTAATCTTCTATTTATCATACATAGATCAACAGCGCCTCTTTGCTTAACAGCTGGGAAATTCAGCACATTCTCTTTACAGATGTTCAGTAAGGTAAAAATATTATTTAAATGATTATTATTTTATATATATAAATAATGATATTGTGAGCTACTTTGTCCGACAAGTAATATCTGTAATATCTTTAAAAAATTCGTGATTAATTCATAAATTGATTGATTTATTAGTTGATCGATCAATAGATCTATCAATCAATTAATAAATCAATTAATCGATCAATTCATTCATTTATCTATTCATAAATCAATCACGATGTTTTCCTGATATTATTGCAAAGAATTTATTGATCAATCATTGAACTGATTGATCTATCAATCAACAGACTGATTGATTCATTAATTCTATGGGTTAGTTACGCAATTGCGTATGAATATGTTATGTAAATATGTTGAACTTTCTGTCAAATGTCATTTTATTTCAGATTGTGAGATCTTCACTCGGTTATCTCTCAGTATTACTTACGGTAACCGACCGTAAAGAATAATTCATTATTAAAATTCGCTATAATTATGATGACAATTGTTGTACAGTTGTACTATTACCGTTAAATAATACAGAATTTGCGACACTAAGATTGTAGTATTTAACTTCTATTTTTAATATGTAACAAATTGTCTGCATCATATTTTATAAGTATGCTTAAAAGAATCGACAGATGTTTTATAGATTTTAAAATAAGACTTAAACAAATCAAGAATCTTAAAAAGCTGATTACGAAACTATTAAATAAGTAAATGGCTGCGTTTAGCAGAAAAAGCAGCTTTGCAACTGTTGTAAAATTCTTTAATATGATTGGTCTTGCCCTTAGTTCCTCATTGGATCTAAATGTATAAACCAATCATATTCAAGAATTTTACAACAGTTGCAAAGCTGCTTTTTCTGCTGAACGCAGCCAATATTATTAATCCTTATCAAACTATGATGCAATATTTAACATTTTAATTAACGAAATGAATTACCGCTCACACAATAATTCATTCAATTATTTCACGTGCTTATAAATATTCCTTATGATAAAACGTAAACGAAAATGTATTTAAAAAAATCATATTCGATATTCTTTTTTCTGTCGCTTCAAATATTAGGTGACAAAAATAGAGAAACAGGTGATGCTAAAAAAGACCAAACTGAGATATTCGTCATCACTTTTCCATATCAGTATCCTCCATATTCATCTAAGTATTGATCTGTATATCCATCATATAATTTTCCCCTTAGGGCAAAAATGTAAAAAGAGAAAATATTTATTATTCAAGATTAACGGAAACATTTTTCACTTTTTACGTTTTCGCTCTAAGAGAAAAGTTACATGATCAGTACCTTAATGTCGATGGTCTTTGCCTAATTATCAAAAGGCTATTTATAGTATATTGGACCAGAGTGTACAAGATTTTTCGTATATCTTTTATTTTGGTATATTTTTTATTAATGAATAAATATTTCTTCAGAAAAAAAGAAAATAAATATTTGTGAAAATGTTTGTAATAGACAAATATAGACCAATTATATCTACAGTAATTGAAGCGTCAAGAATTATCGAATTATGATATCAGAAATGGCAAAAGTAAAACAATAATATATGTTGATGCAACTCATACGAAAAATTACAATTTTCAGATCAATATGGCGTACGGCGTGTATGAATGCAAGTGGTACGATCTACTACCGAAAAATGCAAAAATCTTAATGTTCATCGTATATCGATCTATGTTTCTTCTTAAATTGACAGCTGGAAAATTCGGGATCTTTTCATTAGAAATATTTGGAATAGTAAGATGTATGATGTATCTATACGTAGAGTATAGAAAGATACATATGTTGTCTTTTCTCTATATGTAATTAATTAATTATACATACAAACATGTACATACCTATATACATACATACGTACATATATTCGGAAGTATCGCTAAGTGTTCAATACGAAGCAGCAACTTACTCTGGCTTGACTTTAGGGTCTTTTACGGAGGGTAGATCACTTTCTGCATCGGAGCATGCGTGATCTTTAGGGAAGGGATGGAAAAAAGTCGATCGTAAAAATGTTTCAGTCGTTGCATCGTTGACATCCGTATAAGTATCGATGGATGCTGATCGAGGTATGCACGGATAGAGATGCTCATGTGCTCACGTGAATTGTAAATAATAAAATTGTTATCTAGATATATTCCTATCTAAATTTACAATGTTATAGAATAGAGTACCAAACTGTTTAAAAAACTTATTACACGTATATTTGTGAAATATGGTGCGCTGCTAATTGCTGAGTGTTAAAATAATCAAGAAATATTCCAAGTAGAACAACAGATCACGATTACATCATTTTAATGTTAAAATGGATCTTAACTGATCGAAAAGTAACTTTTAATAATCATTTTAGAATCATTTTGACGGCATTTTGATGTCGTGACTTTATGTTCTGATTGGAATGTATCCTTTTTTGTAATTATATACTTTGAAAACAAAATTATATTACAAATCGCGTCGATGTCTTCCAATGCATAATTTTGGCACATTGATAGTATCCAATAATGATCGAATTTCTTCCTTCATTGATTTTTGAAGCAAAATTCGATCTGTATAGACTTGAATTTCGCGTTCGGATGGAATCGATTCAATTTGAGCCTCGTCGGCATCTGGCCCGATCCGTTACAAAGTCCTAAACAAAAGAGCGGACTCTCCCGATGTCGCTTTATGATAGCCAGTTTCTTCATGCTGGGCTTTGTGTGTATACCGCAATCAGCGAATTTGATATTCATTTGGGGTAACGTGGATATGATGACCGAAAACCTAGCGACCGCTAATATCCCAGTCGCGAATTCTTTCATGAAAGCATTCACCATTTGGCGTAAAAGGAAAGGTACAAAGCACAAAGAACGTCAGAAACAGCAAGAAAATTAACGTTTTGAATAATAGAATTATCTCTTATAAATTTAACATTTGAAAGCTTTGATTTTTATAAATACTAATCAGCTACTTAACAATTACATCTAATTTCTATGTTTATGAAACAGCGACATAATGGCAGCAACAAATGATTTATTACTATTTTTCTCTTATCTATATTCTTAATCATCTTTTGTAATCCTTTCGTACACCAATTTCGTTTCGGCATTTCGCATGATTATGTCCAATAAAGATATAATTCGGCAAACTACCAAATTGTCAGCGTAATATCTAGAGCAGGCCTGTCCAGTTTGAGCTCCGGAGCCAAAACGCAAAGCTATCGACGCAAAATAATTCAATGTGAGTAACATTTTAGGAATTATAAGTGTTGATAAGCGTCACAAATGCGTATTAATACTTTACAGTCCCCGAAATCTTATCCATATTGAATTTTTGCGTTAATGGCTTTGCGTTTTAGCTCCGAAGCTCAAATCGGACAGGCCTGATCTAGAGATAAAATAAAATTAGACCTGTTTACATAAATTTTCATCAAAAAATTCAAAAAGACAATATTTGTTTAAAGTTTTGAAGCTGTTGGTCAACTTCTTCTACCAAGATTGGTATACGCCAAAAACGTCTGAAGAAAGAACAATTATGCTGAAGAATGCTAAACTTGTGAGAAAGATATCCATATGCTGCACAATACTAACACAGACCTTGCTAATCATTTATATCGTTCTAAAGATTTCGGTGATCATCAGATTTTCACCTGGTGACCCGGCTCGTCCCATGATTTATACGGTTTATTATCCTTTCGACGCTACCAAAAGTCCGATTTTTGAATTGATTTGTGCATGCCAGATTTTATCTGCTTTTAGCGGAACGGTTGCTTATACCGGTAGCGACAGTTTCATTTCCATGCTAGTGCTCCATGTCTGCGGCCAATTCGAAAACTTACGCGAGAGACTCAAAAATCTCGTTAACGATTCGAACGAAGTAAAAACATCTCAAGAGTTCAAAAGTGAACTGAGACAAATTGTAATGAGACATGAACATTTAAATTGGTTTGTATAATTTATGGAAACAAAAAACTTTTATCCATTTTTTTATATTTTATTATGCTAAAGAACGCAAGATTACCTCGTATGAAATAAGTTCACATATAAAAAAACATTGATATCACTGCGCAGTAGATAATTGTTTAATTTTAAAATTATTAGGGCAGTCAAATGAAATGTAGAGGATTAAAAATTCAGATATTAAAATAAACTAATATGTTAACAATTGCCATAGTTGGCAAAATACTTCTTCCATTGTAAAACCAGACGAGGCCTGTTTATAAAATTCCTTGGGTTAAGATCGAACCCACTCACAATCTCCTGCCATATTGCATTCGATGGAAATTTCCTACCTTTCAGATTCTCCATACTCGATTCTGTAACTTCTAACAACGGTCCGGTATCGTTATGTTTTGTCGTTGCACAGCTTTTTTACTAAACACTCAAAAAAAATTTTGTTGATATGTGACTAACCACAACTTTTTTATTGTCTTAACCAAAAAATTTGATTAGAATAAAATTTTTGGTCAGGATAACAAAAAAAAATTAAGATTTGTCACATATTAACAAAACTTTTTTCTCAGTGTATGTATAATATCTGCGCAAGGACAATATAAAGACCGACACTGTCGTTAAAAATTACAGACTCGGGATACAGGTCTCCAAAGATGTGAAAATCGCATAGCGACCACAGTTCCAGGTAAGAAATACTGCAGAAGCGCCTACAACCCAAAAATTGTCGCCATGCAATTTCCACATTTTCGGAAACTCAAAGAAAAATCTGAAAAACAGAAAATTTCCGTCGAACATAACAGTATAAGAGACTTTGCGAGTATAATAGGTACGCTTCCAACCCAAGAGTTTTATGAACAAGGCATCCGTAGTCTGATTTCATAATGGAAGAAGTGCCAGTTACGATCATAACGATGATTATTAACATGTTAGCTGATTTCATTGTCCAATTTTTTCATCTGTTACGTTTCCTTTACTGTCCTAATAATTTCAAAATCGATTATTTAAATCATTAATAAATCTTTTTTTAAATCTTTTTCTCCGCGTTCACAAAATTATATAGAATACATATAATAAATTTTCAAATTTAATTTATTAAAATCAATTCAATTAAATTAAATTTAACTTGAAAAAAATTATCTGCTATGTCATCGTATCCGAATAAAGAACATTTGGTAAAAAAGGGCTTATAATATTATAATAAAATCATATATATTTATATTTAGCGTGTCATAATTCAATATATTGTAAATCGATAAAAATGAAAATACTAATCATATATGTCAAGGTTTGCAAAAACAATCGAGGATTCCTTCAACATGATGCTGTTAATACAGATACTTTCTTGTACTGTTCAATTATGCTTTCAAGGATTCCAAGTTTTTAGGGTGAGTGACACGGAGAATAGCATTTTATCAAATATTGTTTACGCATTTATTTCCGTTCTAATCAATTTAAAATGTAATATTAACATTTTGTTAACATTACATTTATATATATCACGTTGCTGAACATAAATTTTCCTAATTAATTCAGAAAATATGAAAATGTGTAAAATAATAAAAATCAGAAATATTTCAGGTATTAATAAACGAAGAAGAAAACGAATCGATGACCTTCCAATTAATTTTTCTAATCATTTTCGTAGGATTTATTCTAGTTCACTTGTATATTTATTGTTATGTCGGTGAAATGCTACTTGTTCAAGTAAGATATATAAATATATATGCATAATGTGCTTTCACTGGTATTTTCGTATAATAAATTTCAGAAGTGCTAAAAGGTTTGCGGGTTATCGCCGTGTCGTAATCCATTGCTAATGCCATTAATGGCATTCTTTGGCACCTCTGAATACATATTACATACCTATTGCACTTCCTCATTTCTTTGTAAAATATCCCAACAAACGGACATTATTTATCATTGTTTTAATGTCATTTTGACATTAAAGATGCTAAAAATATATCAAGATTTTTCGGTTGATAAAGTCCTTATTTAATATTTATGAATCAAAAAATCAATCATTAATTTTAATTTTTTATCGTGTTATAAATTAAAGTATAACTGCTTGAAAGGATAATATATTACACTTTTTAATGGACTAGTAAATTGAGAAGAAACATATTTAGTGTAAAAAATAATAATCACATTAAAATCATTATATGAATTTAGATATTAAGTGTTAAATATTAATAACATTTAAGAGTACTGAGATAGGATTGTCTGCGTACGAATCGAACTGGTTTAATATGCCAGGAAAGGAAGCCAGAAATCTTCTTCTTATCATGCATAGATCGACAATACCTCTTTACTTAACTGCTGGGAAATTCAGCACATTTTCTTTACAGATGTTCAGTAAGGTAAAAATATTGTATAAATTATTATTTTATGAATAATTACATCGTAAGTTATTTTGTCTGACATGTAATATCTGCTATATCGTAGAAAAATTCGTAATTAATTCATAAATTAATTGATTTATTAATTTATTGATCAATCAATAAATCAATCGATCGATCAATCCATTCATTCATCCATTCGTATCTCAATCACGATATTTTTCTGTATTACAAATAATGCAAAGGAGTGGTTGATCAATCATTGAATTGATTGATCTATCAATCAATAGAGTGATTGATTCATTGATTCTATGAGTTAGTTACGCAATTGCGTATGAATATGTTATGTAAATATGTTGAACTTTCTGTCAAATGTCATTTTATTTCAGATTGTGAGATCTTCACTCGGTTATCTCTCAGTATTACTTACGGTAACCGAACGGAAAGAATAATTCATGATTAAAATTTGCTGTAATTATCATGACAATTGTTGTACTGTTGTACTGTTATCGTTAAATAATACAGAATCAATTTGCAACACTCAGAATACAAAATTTTGCTTCTACTTTTAATATGCAACAAATTGTCTGCATCATATTTTATGGCCCATTCAGTACGTGCTTACAACGATGTTAGTGCGCTAACATACTATACTTTACGTTATGCATATTATAGAATTTCAGAGATAAAAGCACGCTTTTATCGATAAAATTCTGAATACGGACTTATAAGTGTACTTGAAAGAATCGACAAACATTTTTTAGATTTTAAAATAAGACTTAAACAAATCAAGAATTTTAAAAAGCTGATTACGAAAGTATTAAATAAGTAAATGTTATTAATCCTTATCAAACTATGATATAATATTTAACGTTTTAATTAATGAAATCAATTATCGCTCACAGTAATTCATTCAATTATTTCACACGCTTATAAATATTCCTTATGAAACAAGATAAACAAAAATGTATTTTAAAAATTCATATTCCATGTTCTTTTTTCTGTCGCTTCAAATATTAGATGACAATAATAGAGAAACAGGTGATGCCAAACTGAGATATTCGTCATCACTTCCATATCAGTATCCTCCATATTCATCTGGGTATCGATCTGGGTATCGATTATATAATTTTCTCCTTGGGGCAAAAATGTAAAAAGTGAAAATTTTTATTATTCAAAGTTAACGGAAACATTTTTCACTTTTTACGTTTTCGCTCTAAGAGAAAAGTTACATGAACAATACCTTGACGTCGATGGTCTTTGCTTTAATCATCAAAAGGCCTGTTTTCACCAACGTTACTTTGATTTAAGCAAGGCTTAAAACTCTTTCTGTGTCTCTTTTTCGCTTTAAAACGAGACGAGAGAGAGTTTTAAATCTTGCTTAAAGTCAAAGTAACGTTGATGCAATCGGACCTTAGAATATTCTGGACGTACCAAATGTACAAGGTTTTTCGTATGTCATTTATTTTGGTATGTCTTTTATTAACAAATGAATATTTCTTCAGAAAGAAAAGAAGATAAATTTTTATGAAAATGTTTGTAACAGACAAATATAAACTAATTACCTTATATCTATAATAATTCAGGCGTCAGAAATAATATGATAAATATCAAAAATATGTTTAATGTTATTTTTAACATCAATCGATAGTTAAATATATTGACCATGAGAGTCTCATATATTCTTCATTGCCATTCGGTTGCAAAGTGCTACGACAGAGGGAACCTTTGCATGCAAGCGGATAATTTATTCTCAATATTAATGTATATACTATTTTATTTAAAATTACAATAATTATTTTTAAGACCATAAAAATATGAATAAAAATATGTAAACAGTTCAAAAATTTTAATGAATTCCAAAATAACTTTTTGAATTATTAATACGAGTGCAAAAATATAAAACAGTTTAACTTTATAAAATTTATTATATTTAAATATAATGCATAAATAACAAATATATTATTACTTATATTTTTGGCGTCATTTTTATTTGCATGCAGCGTTTCTAACATATCAATGTAACTTTTTCTTTTTTCTAACATCAAACACATCGTCAAAATGAAATCAATTTTATGAAGTATCACACAAATGCAGAAAGGAGATAAAATTTTATTCTTGTCATCATTTTATCTTTGTCTATTAAAGCAGACTTGCATTATGAGTATGGATAAAATCACGCATTATATCGGTATATTTCTTTACATTAGGGTGACACCTCTTCGTTGACCTTAACCTTGACATATGTTATATAGAGGTGGGGATCAACTTTTCCTTATAAATTAATATGCGGTCTCTTATAGTTTTCGAGATATATTTACGTAAAATTCATTTTCAAAATTTCATTATTTTCTATATATCGCGCGATTTCCACGCGAAGCGACTCTCACTCCACCTCCCCTCCTGCTTAGGGGCGCATGACTTCCACGCGAAGCTACTTCCACCCCACCTCGCTCCTTACTTAGGGGCCCGCGCGACTTCCACGCGAAGCGAAATTCGCCCCACCTCCCCCCTTGCTACAGAGGCGTCCGACTTTCATTTCCCTCGACAGGAGGGAGTCATTTAGTGAGGCGAAGATCTAAATATCTTAGAAGCTATAGAGACCGCCGATTAATTTATAAGGAAAAGTTGATCAGTATCTTCACCTTTATAACATATGTCAAAGTCAAGACCATCGAAAAAGTGTCCCCTAATGTAAAGGTTTACCAAAGATTGGTTCGATTTTTGGTCTTTAAGAGTGAGATTTCACTCTTCAGATTGAGATTCACTCTATAAATTTTAGAGAATATGTACTTATACGGCAAGTACTTACACAGCAGTGGATACTCTCTTTTATTGTCACCCTAGTACTTCACATACAGTATCCAAGTAGCACACAACACCTATAAAGCATTAAAAAAGCGCTAAAAAGTGTATGTAAGTGTTTTTTAGCGCTTTGCAGACGCTGCTGTGGTACTTGGGTAATCACACGGAAAGAATGAATTTTGCTGAAGTATCTAAAAATTTAGCAAGATATAATACACATCTGAAAATAATTTTTAGATACTTTTTCAAAACAGTTCTTTCCGTGTAGTTTTTGAATCTACGCATCGCGAACTGACAAATCTATTATACATGGGGGCGAAATTCCAGACGAAGCTGGAAAATATCGTGAGAACGCATGAATATTTCAACAGGTGAGATCAGTTAAGCAAGACTTAACACAGAAAGCTCAAAGTGAAGGATTATTACGCATAACTGACGAATTACTTGAAATTTCCAGCAAATAATTATCCTATTTCTAATATTCTGTTTAAGCAAGTGAGCGATAATCAGTTATTTCAAAAGATTTTAGAAATGTTATGAAAACATAAATCATGAAAAATATAAACGCAATTTATAAAAGGAATTTCACGCTTGTCTTGACAGTGTTATTTTCCATAAGATTTCCAAAAACGACCGAAGATTCTTTCATGATTCAACATGATGCATTCTGAGACAGATGCTGAGATGCTTGTTACTTTATTTTCAGTGTTTACAGGCGTTCGTGTAAGCTACGAAAAAAGGAAATATGATCCATAAAAATGAAAAAAAAAGAGAAAAAAGAAATAAATCGGGGCTGGTCATTACGACTCCTCATTTGTAGTCAATAATATTCGAAAGGACAAAGTATTCA